AAATACGTCTCTGTCTGCATTCAATTCAAAAGTTATATCTAAAACATGTTTTAAAAGTATGTTTAACTCTTCCAAGGTCATTTGTAAACTTGTTATAGAAAAAAAAAACCCCAAACACTGACCTAGAATTTTATTGAAGGTTTTCCTACAGTTTCAGTGCATTTTCAAAGCAGCCAGTCAGCCTGCTGACAAACACAATTAACTCTGAGTTTGAGAAATGTGCACACTGTTTGTGTATTGCACTGTTGTGCATCTCTTCACAACAAGAGAGTTTTTCATTGCTGAAACAACTTGATATGGCTGTAACTAGATGCCAGCTGCATTCATTATTATTTTTTTAATTCACTGTTAGTTGCACAAGTGGAAGTTACCAGTTATTGAAGTATGTAGAAGAAAAAGTTGATCATATAGTATTTCCCCCGCAAAAAAAAAAATTGAGAAATAGGGATAGGGTTGCTTATTTTCCCCCAAAAATACTCTAGGCACAGATCCAACTTCTCTAGCATACAAATCAAGCATCAGACTGGTAGCTCTTCAGGGGAAAAGTCATTTGGAGTCAGTATTCAGCACCCCTGAAAACCAGGCTCCCTTCCAAGAACAACAAATTAGCTGACACTTTCACCTAAGAAACTTGCTGAAGCCCATTCAGCAAGTTAGTCACCCAACTAGGAACAGAACACAGAAGTCCAGACACCGAACCTGATGGTCTTATCAGTCAAACAGTGCTACCCCCATTAAATTGCAACATCGTTTTTCATTTCTCAAATAAATTGCTTGAGCTACAGGCTTCCCACTCATGTTTACATTAAAACTAGAAATGGAAACTGTTATTTTCTCAAATAACAGATTTCCAAGAGCTCAAGTTGTAAAATAACTGAAGCAGTAGACATGCCTTTGAGGTTATTAGATAAAAATCGTTCACTCTGTGTTCCAGAATGTGTCCGACAAGCTAAAGACCTAATCATGAAACAGCTGGCATGTCGTGCAAGCAAGATAGAAGAGCTCAAACAAGGCCAGGAGGATGAACAAAGCTATCTACTCAATAAAGATGTGCAAGTAGGAGATCTTCATGAATTTCTGCAGGTAAGCTACAGAAGATTTATATTCATTCTTTTGTTTCTATCTGACAGTTACCTCAAACATATTATGAATAGGAGTTTACTTAAATCATGTAGAAACTAAACAATTTTCACAGGTTAGTTGTGGCACAAATAGTAAATTCTGTGGATGTTCCTTGGATGTGCTCTGGTGGCCCTGCCCCTCAACACTGATTGGCAGAGAGGCCCCAGGAGGAGGAGGAGGGATGACGGGGTAGCTGCCATCTTGTCTGATGCCCTTCATGATGCCCTGCTAGGTAGCCCCTTTCTGCCCCTCCACCCCCTGGTGGGCTGTGATGCTGAACTTCAGCAGCAGCAAGGACAGCTGGTTACCACTGGGGAGTGAGCATTTTATTTTTATTAATTTTTAAAATTGATTTCACCATCCCAGATTTCACATTTTCCATGAAATTGCAAATTCAGTAGACTTACTTATGAAGGTCCCCAATCCAAAAGATCTTATTTCCTCCTGCTATAACTGCAGCAGTCTAAAGGGTACAAACAAAAATGGAGAGTTGGGAAGAAAGAACTTCATACACCTGCCTCAAGGTCTGGCCCTAATTATTAAGTGTTAAAAGTGGGAATGAGCCAGATATTTCTAATTCAGATAGTGGTCATGCTCCTAGCTCTGTCCCCACAACCATGTGACTTACAGGATATCACAATCAGTGTTTCTCCAATTTCCACCTCTGTTTATGTAACAGAATGATAAATTACATTTTGTCTGAAAATGCCCCTTAAGAGTAGATGACTTTACAATTAACCCCAATATAGGCTCTATGAGTGCTATCCAAGGTAACCGCCTTTTCTGCATTTTACTTTTAGCAATACTCCATTGACTATTGTTACAGGTACTTAATTGAAAGTGATGTACATCAAGTTGAAGTAATCACATTTTCAAATTCCATCTAATCTATAGCAATAAAAATTGCTGAATATGCTTTTCCCTGGAACTCTGAGTACTGTTCTGGTATTCATATTTCAAAATGATGAAAAACTGGCAAGTATTGAAAGAAGGATTGCAAGAGTGATTCAGAGTTGGAAAAATAACCAAGACCTCAGGTTACCCAACAGAGCGGGAGGTTAATGGTGACCTGATTTCAGTCTGTAAGTAGTGATATATGGAACAGAAGTATGATAGTAGAGAGCTCTTCAATCTAGCAACCAAAGGTGTAACAGGTTTCAGTGGCTGAAAGTGGAAGCTAGACAAATTTAAACTTGAGATAACAGTGCAGACTTTTAAAGTGAAATTGGACTGAATTTGAACATTTCACTAACTGTGTTTTTTTGGATTCCCAATCCCTGTAAGTGTTTAAAATCAAGACAGGATGCGTTTCTAAAGCAGGAATCAATAAAGTGTAGTCCTACAGTCTGTGTTATGCAGATGGCCAGAGCACCTGGTTACAGTGGTCTTTTAGCACTTAAGTCTATGTAAACAAACACTCAGAGGAGCTTAGTCTAAGACTTCTCTCTCTATGTGGCTGCTTCTGTAGTTCCTGGTTCAGCACTGCTCAACCCATCAACTCATGCATTTCTTGGTGGCTCACACTTACTCCTACCAGTGACCCTAAACTTTCAAATACCCATAGCGTTAAGCAATTTAGAATTTAAACGCCTGAACACCCACTAATTCCTACAGCAAGCTGAGTGTAAACTTTTTAATGTCAACTCCCCTGCTTCTATGATTAACATACTAGTACAGTCAGCCCTGTATAGTCGATGGATATACAGTATAGCCAGCTAAATCCAAAGCAAAAAAGGAGTTTTTACATTCCATCACAGATTAAGTGCCCAGGATAAAGGTTTCCCAAATCATTGTCCAAAGAAAATAAAACGGATGTACTGATTCATTGTACAGGGATTTAGTCCATTCTAAATGCCATATAAGATAAAGTATTATTTCATATAAAGCCAGATTTCTCCTGCTGATCATATCTAGGCTCCTGCTTTAGTGATACAAAATGGAGTGAGAAATTGAAATGATCATCCAAATTTGCTATATATCATAAAGGAACAAATGACTGTATGCATGTCAACCTTTTTGCAATATCTGTCCCCATAATATATCTTTTTGATATACAACAGTCTAAACCCTCCTAGTTACTGTCCCCCTCATATACGTTTTCTGGTCCCATATAGCACAAGGTATTGCATAGTAAACTCTGGCAGCACAAGCTCTCCAAATATGAACCAATATATTTATGGTCAGCAGCCTACAGCTTGCAGGCTGGATCCAGCCCAAGGAAATTGGGAGACAGGCAACAACAGGAACTCTTCCCATGCCACCACAGGGAGAAGTGGCAGAGGCCGATTTCTAACATCTGTGTACCCTCCCACCTCTGATCCACCCTAGGTCATTCCATCATTTAACCTGAAAACGTTGATGGCCACGGTACTATTGCATTGACCAAAACTATGTTGGAGGCTAAACTAATTATAAAACTGTAAGAAGTCATTATTTAGGAACACAAATGGAACTTCACCGCTGAGGTTCTGGTAAATGCTTCTATTAAAAACCCCAGAACCTTGTGATTCTTGTATGGGGTCTTACAACCCAAAGAAAATCCCTGTAGCACATGTGTGTTTGTCCTCTCAACACAAGATGCCTTAAACTAATTAGTAACTTCAGTTAACATTCAAAATCAGTTTGGGTTTGTCTCTTCACAAATAGCTACTGAATTTCCTATAAGCCCTTCTTTGTATTCACCAGCTTCTTGGACTGTAATGCAGCTAGGACAAATTGTAACCTATCATTAGCACCACTGCAGAGATTTGCGCATATCTTTTCATATTGAAGATATTACTCACAGAAGCATGAGTGACTGGTGCCTCCTGAATCTGGGGGGTCACCCACAGAAGCCACTGACCCCGTCGGGGGGCACCAGCCCTACCGACAGCATCAGTGTCAGCTGTCGGGGGGCATATGCACCCCTGTGTACCCCCTACCAGTCGCCTGTTCACAGAAGGCAATTGTTAAGCTTCCAATTCTAAAATATGAAGTTATCGGGTCACGGACAACAGAAACCAATATAGACTAGTGTAGTGCCTCAATAAAGTACTTCTTAAAATCCCACTAGGCATCTAAATACATTAGAAACTGGACCCTTTATATTCCACTTCTAGTGACCCTCAGTTATGCTTATTCCTGACTCTCATTTCCCTAAAATACATAATATTTGGTTTCTATGGCAGCTGGGTCTAATTCACCTAAGGTGGGTAAGAAACAAGGTAGAATTTAGTATTTGCCTGTAAGTCATAGGCAGTCCTGGCATGAACCAGGACTCTAAAAACAAAAGTCAATCTGCCTCAAAGTGCTTGTCACCCAAGTAAATAGTTTGTGATCCAGGAGACAACTGAAAGGTATAGACAGGCAAGCACAAAGCAACAAATGAAAAAGATATCACAGGTATGAAAAGGCTCATGAGGTAATCTGTATGTATTGCTGGGAAGCTCTTCCCCTCCCAAGGAGGAGGGCAATAGGGGAAAAAGCACAAAACTCATTGCTTAAATATCTAACATAAAACCAAAAAAGAAGACTTTGTCCCCCTGTACCTTTCAGAAGCAGATTTGAATCTGACCAGAAATGTGTAGATATTCTCGAATGGGAAGAACTTGGCTGAATTCTTGAGAAGAGCAAAGGCAAGGATTTGTTAAGGCGATATCAGGTATCAGGAGTAAAAGGAAACCTGATGAAAAATGTCTTGCATTCAAGTTGTCTGACTATCCCAGATATTGCAGTTGGTCCAATAAAAGATATCATGCTAAGAAATCCTTGCCTATTGCATAATTTCTGAACCATTATGGCTCTAACATCACTCTAACTACGACAAGAGCATTGACTATCCAAATTGCTGCTGCTTCCCAGCCTTTCTATTTTTTCCTCCCTTCAAATATCAGGTACTTATAAGGTAGCAGCATACTCAGTCCCTGACCTTTCTGTAAATGGGCACCAATTAGGATGATGAATAGTGCAATAATCACCTTTTTCCATACAGAAACTATAAATTTGCTTCACATAGGCCACCAGATACAAGTTGGATGGTAATGATTCATCCGCTGCTTGTCCTGAGTTTGATGCATAACAGTGGCCTAGATGTGGAAGGTTTAAGTCCATGTGTGAACTTCTTTCCAGCCTCACCAGTGCCAAATAGAGCCAAAAAAATCACTTCCCTTGATTTTGCAAGTGACGCTCCTAATAATACACTTCACTATCATGTTGGGTTTTTTGTTTTGTTTTGGGTTGTTTTTTCTTTGGGGGGAGGGGAGGGGAAATGTTGTAACAAGAGCACACTGTTGGCTCTTATTAAGCTTGTGGTCTACTGGAGCCCCTAGGTCCTTCTCTGCAGGGCTTCATCCTAGCGAGTTATTCCCCAGTCTGTGTTTGCAGTTATTCCATCCCAGGTGCAGGACTTTCCACTTGTCCTTACTGGACCTCATCTGATTGATCACAGACCATTTTAACAGCCTACCTAGGTTATTTTGAGTCTTATCCCTACTTTGTAGAATATCTGCAACCACACCCAACTTGGTATTATCTGCAAATTAGCTAAGTATGCATTCAATCCCATCATCCAAATCATTAATGAAGATACTAAATGATACATGACCCAGGAGAGACACCAGGGGAACCTCCTCCCAACTAGATATTCAGTCATTGATGATTCATTGAGTATGATGATCCAATGTGTTATGTACTTTCATCTAGTCTGTATTCCCTTATCTTGTTAATGAAAATGTCAGTGGGGACAGTGTCAAAAGCCTTATTAAAGTCAAGGTACATCACATTCACTGCTTACTCCCCTCCCCCTATCCACAGAGTCTGTGGCCTTATTGTAGAAGAAAATCAGGTTGGTCCAGCATCACTTGCTTTTTGA